GTGTTAGAGCCTAATATTACTGGGAAACAGTTGAGAGATTTAAAAAAGATAGATTATATGTTTTAGATGGGGCCAATTACCTTAACTTGCTACCAGGGCTTTGATAACTGAATTAAGGTCTAAGGTTTCCATCCCTTAAGTAGCCAAGAGCCGTTTTTTTTTTCTGCCTAAACCCACTTGACAATGAATCTCCACAGAAGACAGAGGAGAGGTGGGTTGGTGACCTGAACTAGGACCCCTACATTACTGTTTCAATTACATTCATGATGAGCACATAAGGAAATGGTTTATAAACAAAATTTGAAAATTCAAAGTTCAATAGCTCCATTTAACATCTTTCCTGATACATCAGAGACAACAGATACATCCTCTCTAAAGTTCTAATAAATTTGCCTATATTTTCTCCCAGTTGTCATTTGGATGTGTAGTTAATATTTGTCACGTCCCAGTATGTCTGGACTCAGTTACGATATTATTCCCTTATATCCCTCATAAATCAGCCTCATTCAAGGGTTCCCAGAAAGAGACGAGAAAACCTGAGGATTAGGTTCATCTTGAGACTGAGAAAAAATTGAAATAGTTTCTCTGGAATTCAATAAAACCTCTAGTAGCTGTGCTGGACTTAGCCTCTTCTTGCAAAATGATTAGTTTGCCATTGTACCCAAACTATTTCTTCAAAAAGACTAAGTTAAATCAAAGTTGTTGACATTTCTTAAAATAGTTTTTCTTCCAGTTAGGATGATTGGGGGAAAACCATACATGATTATTTGAATATTTGCTCAGGAAATTACAACTGTTCTAAAGCTTGTTCCAATACATGTTTCAGGCTACTTAGGACAAATAAAAAATTGCAGGTCCCTTTCTATTAAGTATAATAATTACCACTTACTGAGAGCATACTGGGTTCCAGGCACCTTTCAAGGTAAATTGAATATATTACCTTTAATTCTTACTTAATCTGGCAATTTGTGGCCCAGTTTGACAAATTAGGAAGTGAATAGAATACACGACAAGTAAAAGGTCAGACAGGTTATAAGGGGCAAATCCCACTTTTCTCTCACCCACAAAGCCTGGGGCCTTTCCTTTCTGTTATGTCAGGTTTTCTCTTGGTGGTAACCCTTAGTTTCCATTTAATCTTCCTGTACTCAAAAGTATAATTGTTCCCTTCATTACTTTAACTGTTAGACATTTGAGGTGGCTGCTGTTCGTGGGTCTGTCAAAAAGAAAAGTAATATTGTGCTTAAGAATTTTGGTCCTATGCCAGCCTCACTGGGTCTGAATCTTGGCACTGACTCTTCCTGGCTCTGTGTTCTTATGTATATTCCAAAACTTCTCAGTGCCTCTATTTCCTCCTCTTTCTTTTAAAAATTAATTTATTTATGTATATTTTACATCATTGTTAATTTTTGTACAATGTTTGATTTCTCCTCTCAGGAGTGATTCCAATAAAATTCCCACCACCAATTTGCCTGTGCACCATCACCATAGTCCCTTGTATGCTTCCCACCCCTGTTTTGATTCCTCTCTGCGCCCCCTCCCCTGCAGAATGTCTCTGATTTATAGTTGCCTGTTAATTTTGTTTATTTTTTTTTCCTGATCCCTTATTTGGTTACCCTATATTCCTCCTATATAGCTGAAAAGGATTATGCTCAGTGAAATAAGCCAGAAAGAAAGAGAAAAATATCAGATATTTCCTCCTCTTTAAAGTAGAGGTATAATTGCCACATTACCGCACAGGTCTGTTGCAAGAATTAAATGAAGTGTTTCAATGATTCTCAAACTTTCATAATTCTTTACCAGAATCACCCAAGAATCAGTGAAATCTGTAGGTCCTGGTTTTATTTTATTTTTTAAAGATATGTTTATTTATGCATACAAGAACTGGGGTACAGCCCAGAGGTGTGGGGAACAAAACAGGCAGATCTACTGAAATACACTGCTAAGGGGAGCAGCAGTTGAGTCAGGAGAGGTCTGCTGCGCCATGTGTATAGCTCCCTGGCCGGGAATCAAACTCGCGCTGCAGTGGCTGCGGGTTGCAGCATAGGTTGCATATTAACCCCTTGCAACACCAAGGAGGCCCCGGGTCCTGGTTTTAATTATCGGGTGGAAAGATTGTGTATGCAGGACACCTAGGACAGTGCCTGACAGAATAAGTTTTCAATAAATGTCAGTTATGATCACTTAAGTAGATTAGGGAGGGTTGCTTGGAGAAAACACTATGTTCAATTGAACTTTTGAGGGAAATATAATTTAAGAGGTCCTAAAAGGTAGGCCAGCCTAATATACCAGGATTTCTGTAAGATTCCAGCATTGCAAAACCACAGGGTCAGGAACAAGCCATCTTTTTACTGAAAATGTTATAATTTTGAAAATACAGTTAGGAGGAATGTGGCTGTTATGTAGCCTCCTGAAGAACAATTCATTTATTGAACAGATATTTACTAAGCATCACTCACATATTAGGCTTTGAAATAGGCAGTGGGAATTTTTGCTCATGGCATTATTTTACGTTTTCTCTCCATAGAAAATATAGCCTATATCCCCTAACACTGCTTGCAAGGTAAGTGGTTTTGGTTTTTTTTTTTTTTTTTTTTTTTAGTTTTTTTTTGTTTTTTAATATTCTTTTTTTTTTTTTAAGATTTATTTTTATTTATTTATACAAGCACTGGGTACAGTCAGAAGCACGGGAGGGTGAGAGAATTCACCAGAGCCAGAGTGGGGAGCAGAACAGGCAGACTGACGAAGTACACTGCTGAGGGGAGCAGCGGGCAACAGGAGAGGTCTGCGCGCCATGTGGGACCCTCTGCCGGTGGCCGGGGAGCAGCTGGGGATTGAACCAGCGCTGCAGAAGTTGCGGGCAGCTTCGCAACCCAGCACTCAACCGCTGCGCCACCGGGGAGGCCCAAGTGGTTTTGTTTTGTAAGGAATATCTGTCCTTCCCCTGCCTCAGTGATCCTTTTCACCTCACACCTATAACTTCCAATTCCCACTAGTTCCTTCCTTTCAACCTGTTTATTGTATATCCATCACTTCTCTGGACAATTTTTGAGCATTTCCACTTTTCTCATCTACCCCAGACACATTCTTATTAAATACCTAATTCGTATATAATGTACAGCTTTTAGCTGTGTTGGGAAAAATCATCAGCATATAATTAATCATAATTTACATGGTCTATAGAGTTTTTTAAATTATTCCATTTGGCTGCCACAAAAGAAAATCTTTCCTGTTTGTGAGTCTAGCATATCTGCAAGCAAATAGAAGAACTTCTAGCCACAGTAACCTAAAGTCTACATTAAAATAAGCACTGATACTTTACTTCCATATTTAACTCTATATTATAAAGGTGTTAGAAACTTAATTGAAAGCAAACATCCCAGGCCTCTGATAAGATAGATGCAGATGCCTTTTTCACGAACATGTCTATATTAATTTATTTTGCCCACTTTTACTTGTCTAGTCTTTATTAATTTAATCTTTATGGATATCATTCCTGTACTTTTCTTTAGGAGGCAGAAATAATGGCTCTACATGTTAGAAGTGGCAAATTGCTAGCATCATCCCCAACTCTTTCCCCTTTGCTATGGGCCCTTTAGTGATTCTAACAGGTTTGGGGCACATCTTATGCTAAAGGCTCAAAGGAATGAAATAACTTAATTGATATATAATTGAAAAAAATATATAATTAAGGTGTACAACACAATTTTGGATACACACACACATTGTGAAAGTATTACCAGGATAAAGATGATTAAATATCTATCACCCCACATAATTATGATCTTTTTGTGTGTGGTGAAAGCACTTAAGATGAACCCTTAGCAAATTTCAAGTACACAAAACAGTATTATTTGCTATAGTCACCATGCTCTGCACTGGATTTTCAGAATTATTTATCCCACATAATAGCCTTATATCCTTTGGCCAACATTTCTTTATTACCCCCCAGCCCCTTATAATCACCATTCTACTCTTTTTTTTTTTTTTGAGTTAAAAAAAAATACAGAAAATTTTTAGATTTCACTTGTGAGATCATGAAGTATTTTTCTCCCTGTATCTGGCTTAATTTTTTAGCATAATATCCTCAAGATTCATCCATGTTGTCATCTGTGGCAGGATTTCCCTCTGTTTTAAAGACTAAATAATAGTCATGTGTGTGTATGTGTGTGTGTGTGTGTGTGTGTTGTAAAATGGCATATAACATTCGTACCTCAAAGACTGTTTTGTGTATACAAATAACTAATAAATGGTATTTTGGAAATAGCATGCAGCATATAAATTACCAGAAAAGTACCAAATATTTTCAATAAACCATCAAAATTTTGGGGAAACTTTTCAACTTTTATTATTTACTCATTTCACTATTACTATTCTTCTGATTAAGACTACCCATAATATAGTGGCAGGATTTACAAGCTTGGATGTCTAAATTTCTTTTTATGGAAGCATAGGTACTAGATCAAACTTTTCTTCTATATATATGGAGAAGTCATTGGAGGAAGATCCTGTGATTCTGATCTCAAGAGTTTGCTTTATCACTGAAGTCCTAAAATGACCTCCTAGTAGATCAATCCAATTTAGAAAGAGTGAAGGTAATTTTGAATATATAGCTTATTGTAGTTAATAAAGACTTTTACCATAGAGAAGTTCCTCTTGTTCCTAAGAGTTTCAAAGTTCAAATGCTAGTTTATCGTTCTTTCTTAGAGAAAGAAACACAGCAGAGGTATACTTTTGCTTCAAATTGCTTTTACGCTAATGGGCAAATAAGTTTTACATTGTTCTACATTCATGGTTTTTTATTGGATTTTAGTGGATGTAGAAAACTCTAATCGTGTTACCTTAATTTAATAAGATATTTTTAAAAGGTAATGACTGTCACTGAGCCTGTTTCTGTGATTCAGAGTCTTCTCTGATAATTCATCAAGTTTGGATTCTCTATAATTATAAGGCATTTATATTCTTTTCTCAATGTACTTATATTACTTTATGTCAATTGCCAGAATACTTCAGGGCAGAATAAGTTGGGCCTTTATTTCTCCCTGCTGCTTCCTGGGTAATTGTTTGAAGGATACTATGAAGACTCTTTTTAATTCCTTTCACTTTGAGGTAAGCCTTTATAAAGCAGGTCATGATGCAGAAAGCAGAGACTTGTGCTGAGAATGACATTGTTTCATAAAAATGTCAATGATTATTAATTCATAGAAGATTTGTGAGGCAAGTGGAAAGACCTGATAAGCCTCATTTCCTTGACCATATTCATTTTTTATCCTGGAATATAAATTTTGCTAATCACTATTTAAAATTGCATTTGCCTTTTATCCAGCCACAGCCATGTTCATTTTAATTAGTTCAAGTTTGTGGGATGTGAAAGTGTTTTCCAATTCATCAAGATGTTACTATACTAATTCTTTCCAGAGTCCTTAGCATTCCTGAAAAAATAGAGTACTTCATAACAGATTAAAGGGAACTTTTAAAGGCACTTGCCTTACACATGTACTAAAGGAGTCTGAAAATGTATAATCCTAAGGAAAATACCTTACTTCCAAACCTCTTGCCACGGAAAATCCAGCAATTTTAAGAAATAATCATGACCCTACATTGGGCTCTAAATATGCTGAATTAGAATAAATCATTAAGAGCACATAGTGCTGTTTCAAAACAGCCTCCCATTGACCCAAAGACTGTTAACCTGCAAGTAATGTTCTTTCCAATGTCAAATTCTCACAACTTGCTTTCCGATGCTGGGTATATACTCTGAAGCTCTTCTTGAATTCAAAGGTCAGGGAACTGACATTTTAATATCAGCAACATAACTTGGGGAACTAGCAGAAAGATAAACACAGTAAGTCACTTGTCCAATCTTGACAAGTAATATGGCTGCTGCAATGTTAGGTATCCCAAGTGAAAACAACAGATGTTAGTATCTGCTGTGTGTAAGAGATCCTGGCAGGTTATAGCCAGAATCAGAATGAGCATCTTGAATGCCCTTAAAAAAAGCTATTAGACTAAAAGTATCATCACCCACAGCAGTAATATCCTTCCTCAGAATTCAAATCACAAAGTCTAAGAATGGGCAGAATTAAATGCCAGTCTTTGGAGACATTTTCCTGAACCACCAATATTTTTGTGTCAATCAGTGCTGCAATTGAGTTTTAAGTGGATTTAAGCCAAGAGTGGAGAGGAAGAATTTTTAATGAAGGTTTTAAGTGGGTTTTCATTTAACTTAATAATGAAACTTTCTCCCAAACCTCACTGAAGTGGTCATTTAAAACATATAGATCTATTCAAATACATTTTTCTAAAGCAAGACTTCCTAAACTGGTTATGATGAATTCTAAACTTTTCTAGAGCAAGGAGTTTGATTCATTCTTTCCTGTTTTTCACAGGATCAGGCAAAATGGTATGCCCAAAGTAGGTGCTCAGTTCCTATTTGTTGAATAAAGAATGCTATTAACATATTATGAACTTGCTGAAAAAACCCTATGAGACCCTGACCCAATGCCTATGCTATTAAAGGGAAACTCACCTTCAGTCTTGTTTTTTTACCACTCTCTTCCACTTTTCGAGGACTTACTTCCTTATGGAATTCCTGCATTGGGGACAACTTCCTCTTTCCTTTGTCATCTCAGTCCTAGTCACAGTCCAATCCCAATTCAAGCCCTATATTGTTTATAAAATCTTCTTCTACTGTTCAGCCCAAAAAGCTATCTGAGTGATTGTTAAAACTCAGTGATTTTTCACTTCTCTAGTTGTCAAATAATGTCACGCTTTGCTGTACAAAGACTTGATGGTGAGGATCATGTCTTTTTCACTCCTTTTTCTCTCAGGTTCCAGCTTACAGTGAAGAATGAGTATGAATAGTCATATGAATACATATGAATAAAGATATGATGGTATCCTGAAACCTAGACAGCCCAGTTTACTTGGGGGTTCAATTCACTTCCATTAATGGCTCAGGCTCAGATCTAGGCTCTAATTATGAGGGCTACTCCAGACCTTCTCTAAATAGAACAGATGTGTGATTTTCTTGAAGAATTTTTGCTAACTGCCTGTAATATATAACCACAGACTCACAGAATTCAGTCTTTGATATTTGTAAAAGTTCTACATTGATACAAATGTCTCTCTTCTTAAAAATCAGATATGCCAATTTTCATTTTGCAAGAGTGAATTGAGACTGATGTGTAAAAATGTCTTTTGCATTTATTTGAGAATATGTGCAATTCCTTTTTGCATTTTTTGGATGTCCATATTCCGTTGCAAGCTGTCCTCTGGTATACCTGTGACCTAAAGGTCACAGCAAGTAGAAAGAAGAAATGCATTATACCCAGTTTTCTTTTCCATTGACTGACTGAAGTGAAATTTCCACAAAGCAGGAAAGTAAGCCATTTTCCCTTAGGCCTTGAGTTTGTGATGTTAACAATCGTTAAATGAAGTCAACTTGACAAAATGGACCACCTCCTCTATAGGAGAATAAAGGCTGTTAATTTATACATTCTAGATTAGTAAGAAATGCAAAAGAGAACCAGAAAGAAAGGGAGAAAATGAAAAAGGATAAAAACACAAGAATAACAGGATGTGAGCTATGTAACTCCATGGAGGTTTTTCATCTCTTCAGTTGATATGGAAGAAGATCCAGTCTTCACTACAACCCTACAGTAAAGTTCAGTTTTTTCCAAATTATCCCAAACACTCAATCATACAACTTTTTTGTGTGCCTGACACTCTATTTAGTGCAAACTTTATATAAGTAAACAAACAAAAGCCTTTATCCTTATATATATTCCAGTGAGTGACCAGGACAGTATAATAGTGTGCATTAATTGAGCAAGTACTAAGTGCCAGGTGCTTCATTAGTCATTTAATCCTCAAAACAACCTCAAGAGGTAGAAGTATTTCCCCTCACTGTTAAGAGGGACATACCAAATAGGATTTAAGTACCAGAGTGCTAACTTACGTGGTCCAGAATCTATCCCACTTCATAGATGTTATTGAAAAGTCCAAACTAAGAAAGATTTGGCTCTTGGTAAATTAGTTTTGACTGTTATTAATTTTATACCATGAGTATTATTTTATGCAGAACTGCTAGGTAATAATTGGCAGGGTGCATGTTCTCTTGTTAAACACTTTACCTGTTACACTAATGCAGCTTTTGCCACCTGCAGTGCCCCCAACCTTCTGTCAGTATAAGGTTTTACTTGTCTGGAAAATATAATTTTTTTTACATATTTATTTATATTCAAAAGGACAGGTTTATTATAAAAAAGAGAAGGAAATTCAAAGATGCTTACCAGGACACAAGCGAGCAGATAGAGCTGCCCCTGAAAGGGACAGTTTTGTTAAGAGGGGCCTGCATAGTCTCAGAGGGCAGTCTTGGGGAGAGAGCTGCCTCTGCTGCTTTGCAAAGGAAGAAGGTTGGTGAAGAGAAACTCCTGCATAGGCACAGGTGGGCAGAAGACCTGCTGCCTGGAAAATATAATTTTAAACCATTTCTAAATATCTTCAAACAAAATGTGTTCCAGTGACCGACAAAGATTGCTCAGTGCTTTCTTCCCTCTGAGCTCTGTCTGAGCTAAGTTCCTTTTCGTTGGTTCTCACCTATCCATTTTCAAAGGCGTCTAAACCTTGATCCAGAAAGCCCCTAGGCTGTTGTCAGTGGGGTTCTTGGCAGGGCTAAGGCTCATCACCAAGCAGGTGGTTATCAGCTATGGACACAATTGTTTTCAGAAGTTTCCAGAAATGCGGTGCTGTTCTTCAATTGCTGGGATTCCTTTACTTGGACAGCTGCTTGAGAAGCATTAGAATTTCACATGGAGTGGGAAAGGCCAAAGCTCAGTGTCTCTTTAGCTCTCAACTCCCAGCACTGACTTATAGTTCCAGGAAGCCCTGTGGGGAAATGAAAGAGAGAAATCTAGACAATAAGACCTCCGCGGACCTGCAGAGTATACACACTGCACTATAGCATAAAGAAAACAATATGCATTTTCTGTGCCTCTGAGGATTTTATATTCTAAAGGAGAAAGGGGAAATATTTCGAAATATCCAGCTCAGTCAATAAGCCATACACATAATTAGAGCTATGTAACCACTGGAGAAATGTATAACTATAGCAGCCTTCTTTTATGAAAAGCAATTTCTTTCTAGAAGCCATATAACATTGCGTTTGAAAGTGTACTCTCTGGAAACATACTGTGTGGATTAGAATCTTAACTCTTCAATTTGGGAAACCATGTTGTCCCTGTGTGTAAGATGGGAATAATAATGGTATTTCCCTTGTGGTAGCATTGTTGTCAATTAAAAGTACTTGCATTGAGTGAGTTAATATATAGGATATTTTTGGTATCAGTAATTGACTAATAAGAGTTATGGCAAGTGCTGCTTTTAGCTAGTGTCCCATTCTGCTTGTCTTTAAGACAGATCTGAAGTATGTGTGACTCATTTCTCCATTACATTTGTAGCAATAATAATAATAATAATAATAAATAATTCCTCATGTGATAAATGCTTAATGTGGAAAGGAGATAGATCCTTAACAAATTTTTGAAGTTGATATAATTTTAAACTTCATTTTAATATGAAGAAAATGAAGGCTGAGAGGTTTTGTATTTTTCAGAGACTGAAATCCAAATTTGTCTGACTTTTTGGGAACTTGTTTTCTATGAAGACCATTTGTTTCTTCCCTTCAACCATGAAAGACTATGGGGGAGAATGTTCAGCATTTGAGATGGGATGTGATAATGGACAAAATTTTCTGGTAAGTGGATAGAGGAAGGAACTGAATAGCTCTCTAAATATTATAATAGAAAGCAATTGACATGCAGGTATTAGGAGCAGAGTTTTTTATTGTTGTTGTTGCCTCTGAACTTTAAGAACCTGAACCATACAACAGAAGTTGACTCAGGTTGTGTTTCCCATTTCTAAATTTCCTTTCATTAATATTTATGAGAAGGAAGATGAATTTAAAAGGCAGAGTGTCTGAGACCAGAGTTTTGAAATTTTGTCAGGTTTTGGTCAGAAAAATATAAAAACTGATGGAGCTATCAGGCAAGAAGGAGAGAAAGGATCTATGTATCCTGGGACAGACATTCTGACTTGTACTAGGCAGAGAAGCATCATCTTTACAACTGAAGGCTGAACCCCGCATGGTCAGCCCAATCTACTTTTAAGAGATCTAGATTGAGAAAAGAGTTTGATGCTACAAGAGGCATCAAGATAAAAGATCAAGGCTAAAGTTGTATTAAGTTAAGTCCTTTGGGCCAGACTGAAAAAATAATAAGTTTATTCAAATGGCTTATGTACTATCTTATGAAATCTTCAAGGATGTATAGATGGGTTCCAATTAGGACAAGTTTGTTGCTGTTTATGGACAGTCTTTGAATTTAATATACAATAATGAATAAACTACTGGTGGGCTCCTCCTAAATCACAAGGTCATCAGAGAAGAATGCCTGAGTATTTGCCTGAATATGTATCTAGACCATATCTTCATAATCTATTCATCTGTTTTGGGACACTGAGGCTGTTTCCATATCCTGGCTATTGTCAATAGTGCTTTAATGAGCATGGGAGCACAGGTTTCCATTCAAATTAATGTTTAATTTAATGTCCTCTCTGTTTCTGTATCAGTTTTGCTCAGATAGAAATGAATAATAAATCTGAGAGATTAATATACTTTCTAAATTCCTCTAACAAAGGAATGTAGAATGATCCATAAAAGGATAAGGATAAATAATATTAAGGAAAATAAGAATGGAAGGTTTGGCTTGATCTTCATAATTTGGTGATGAGGGCCTCCCTGGTGGTGCAAGGGGTTAAGATGCAAGCTATGAAGCAATCCGCAGCTACTGCAGTACAAGTATGATCCCTGGGCAGAGAGCTACCCACATGGTGCAGCAGACCCCTCCTAACTTGCCCGCTGTTCCACTCAGCAGTGTATTTCAGTCAATCTATTCCCCACTCTGTCTCTGGCGAATCCTCTCACCACCCCCCCACCTCTGGCCTATATCCCAGTTCTTGTATGCATAAATAGATAAATTTTTAAAAAAATAATTTGTTGATGAAATTTTAAGTCACAAAATAGTTCTTCAGGATACAATTACATCTCGATAAATACTTAGTTTTATGTGATTCAGATAGTTGTTGCCTGTCCTACATTTTATTCATTGTAATGGCTACTGATTTTCCTGAAATTTCACTCCAAAGGCCGGTCATTAAAGGTAACTGTAATGTGTTTAACTTGGTGATCAGGTCCTTCATTATATTCTGCATTAGTAGAATGCAGAATATAACCAAATTTTAATACTTTATCATTGTTAGCTAAGGAACCATTTTTTTTTTTTAATGATTGTCCACAATATACTTTTACAAAATATGCATAGGTAGTGGTTTTTCAGGCATGAAGACTTCAGAAGAGAACATCCTATAAACATAAGGAATTTTATGTTTGGGTTGGACATGTATCACACCACTTTTTTCCCCCATTATTTATTCTTTGTAATAAAATGCATCAAATTCCAATATTAGATTTATGCAACAGCAGGTAAGAGTTTTGTATCATTCGCCCCTTCTCTACACATAAAGCAATAGTGCGGTGTTGTCACTGGAAAGCTGTTGTACTCTATGGAGTGGTGAGGAAGTTTTCTTTTGATGAGACTGAGGACAGGCTTCTTGCTTCCTTCTTCTACAGAGACAAGTGAAGTAGCAATCAAAATGGGTAATTCCGAAAAGAAAGAATAAAAAGGAAGTAGCCCGTGTTGGCCTCTTAATTATCACATTAGACTGCAGCCATTTAATACGGTTTGGCGCTTGATTGCATTCCTTGTCTCCTGAGGTGTAGGAGCGTCTCCCATCATGGCAGAGTTGTTGATGCAAAGATGCTCTGAAAGACTTGTTCTTGTCTCATTCTTTCTCTGCCTCATTAACTTGTTCATTTTAATGATTACATCTTCATAAAGTCTAACATTTCAGTATCAAATGTTCTGTTCTTAAATTAAGCATTAAAAAAATAGGGGAGGGAGGTTGATCGTCAGACAATCTGTCCTCTTCTATTTCAACACTTACATTGCTTTCAATTCATTATTTTGGAGTATGCAGGAACCTGTGTACCCCTGTGTCCTTACCATCTATTAATGTAATTGGGATTTCATTTGTTCCTGTATTCAACACATATTTATAGTGCTCTTTTCAATATTCAAGGCCCTGGAGAGAGGTTTTAAAGAAAAGAAAGAGAAGCTTTGATCCCTCAAAAGACACATGTCTCCTTCCCTAAAATGAACCATATTTTAGACAATCCTGTTAACAGGGTTACCTTACTCTAGGAGAAAGAAAGAAGCCTTGAATAAAGGCTTGGAAGACCAGAAGTAGACACAGGAAAGGAAAAGGAAATTAGGGAAATTCACCCATGCTTATCTTCAATAACTGAATCTCTGTATTTATATTTTGTGTATTTTTTTTCTAGATTTGTTGTATTTGCATAAAAATATCAACAAAATGAAAATATACTGGTGTGGTTAAAAATGAGAGACATGGGAGATAGTTACCAAAAAATGATTGGGTATTCTTAGGAAGCTTAGGACAGTTAATTTTTTTAAGTCAATTAAACTGGTATTTCATTTCAGTATAAATTAGATCCATGGTGATCTAATTTAAAAGATTCTAGTATGATTTTTCTTTCTAGAGAATAAAAATACAATCTGTGTATAGATGTCATCATTAATTTTCTCTTACACCCTGCTTTAAATGAAGTCTATCAACAGTAACTTTGTTATGTCATCAAAATTAACAGATATTGAATATTTGATCAATTAGAATATGATAATTTGCTTTATATTGGAATAAATACTTTCCCATATTATATAATGGCTACTTTTCATCTACATCCATGTCTTTACAATATCCATTATAATTCTGATCTATCAAGAGAATTTTTAAAAATTTGATTTTGTGTTAATTTTTCACTCTTCAATACTATTTTGTTGCCATTTATTGAATAATTCAACAAATATTTATTGAGAGATTAATGTATATCAGATAATATTTTAGGTGCAAAGAACTTGGCAATAAAAAGTGACAAAATTTTCTTCCTTCATAGAACTTAAAATTATAGGAAAGAGGACAGAGAAGTGATAGTATATCAAGTTATGATATGAATTATGGAGACACAGAAACAGATAGCGTAGGGTATGTAGAACCCTCTACGTTACAGGAGCAGCATTGAACTTGGGAAGAAATTGCAGTGAAATCGGTGGCTACAGCACAGGGAGAAGAGGTAGGAAATAAATATAATACTACAAAAGAAACCATGCCTTGGCACTTTGGGGCACTGAAAGGCTTCAGCTTTTTCTCTACAGAAAGTGAGAAGTCAATGGACAATTTAAGTCAAGTTGTAATATAAACTAACTTACACTTTAATAAATTTTAATTTTTTTCAAGATCTATTTATGCATGCATACAAGAGCTGGGGTACAGGCCAGAGGTGTGGGGAGTGAGAGGATTCACCAGAGACAGAGTGGGTAACAGAACAGGCAGATGTACTGAAATACACTGCTGACGGGAGCAGCGGGCGAGACAGGAGAGGTCTGCTGTGCCATGTGGGTTGCTCCTTGGCCAGCCGGGGATCGAACTCATGCTGCAGAGGCTGTGGACATCTTCATAGGTACCATCTTAACCCCTTGCACCACCAGGGAGACCCCAATTTTAATATTTTAAAGAAAGTTGCTGTTTTGAAAATACATTGAAGAGGTCCAAGAATAGAAGTAACAATAACTGTTGACTATTGCAGCCGTCCAAGCAAAAATTGATACTGGTTTTTGACCACATGATGGCAGTGAAAGTGGTCAGATTCTGAATATATTTTGATTAGATCATGTAACTTTTTGATTGGATATGAGATGTGAAAGAGAGAGAATTCTGAGTCAACCTCTTTATTTAGGATGTGAGCAGCCAGAAAAATGGGATTTTTATCTCCTGAGATGGGGCAGGCTGCAAATGTAGACTTGAGGGTGGGAATCAGGGGTTGGGTAGTGGTTGTGTTATCTTTGAGATATCTACCGGACAAGCAAGTGGAGATATTAAGTAGACAGTTGAATAATTGAATTTGTAATTTAGGGGAGAAGTTCTGGCTGGAAATATAAATCTAAGAGTCATCAGCATGCAGATGACTTTTAAAACAAAGAGACTGGATGGAAGTATGTGGGGAACAAGTGTAGAGAGAAAAGAGGTGATATCCTAGGACAAAGCTCTGGAGAACAAAAACCTTGACAGATGCAAGAGTTGAGGAAGAGTCAAATGAGATTAAATAAGGGCAGCCAATATAGCTGGAAGAATTGAGCTATGCCATGAAATTCAATTCACCTTCCCAAATGTTTATTGTCTTTTTTGATTTCCTCTTTTGTGAATTTCCTGATCATATCTTTGCCCATTTGGTGATTTTGTTAATATTTTGCAAATGGAAAATTTCACATTAGATTCTGATTTTTGCTTTTCTTGAAAAAGAACATGTGGCAGTTGCCAACATTTTCACAAGGTAACAGTTGAGGGAACTTAGAGTAAATGCTTTTCATTTCTGCAACCTTGAATACTCTTTATGGAATTATTACTAGCCCGTTTTACTTACTTATTTTACTTTATTTTATCTGACCTCGAGAAGTATATCTGAACTGGGGGTCCTCCTTTGAGAACCACCTGACCCAGTTTAGAAATCCAGGATACATCTGAGTTTCTCTTGGAAATACTGTTCAATAAGATTAAGCTTTG